AACCTTAAACCAAATCCTAAACTCGAACCCGAACCCGAACCTGAATCTGAACCTAAATCTAAACCTGAACCCAAACCTAAATACAAACTATTCAAAACCTTTATTTTTTCTATGGTTTCATGGATAGTTTATCTTACGAGTTAAATTATACAGGTATTTCTCATTCCCTTTTTTCATTTTATTATTTTTATTTTAATATTTGAACTAATATGTTCTTTATTTGTTTTGTATGAGAAAACCCAACAGATCAGAATGAAGAACATTTTGAAAGAGGTAAACTACCTATTCCTTTTTTGTGTATTCTTTATATATATATATATATATGTATAAAGTTGTTAATGTAAATGATATACTATCAAAAGCAGTTAATGTAAACTAACCCTGCTTTTTTTTACAAGGTGATGGAAATGATATACTGTCAGAAGCAGTTGATATCAATAAATCATATAAGAGGAAGGCTAAATGTTCATCCGAGTTCTGCAAAAGAACTTGTCCTGTTTGGGAGCATTACACCTTCATCAAATCTGTCGATGATTATGTTTATGCCGAGTGTAAGTATTGCAAAAATAAAAGGTATAAAGCTGATTCTTATATTGGTACATCTAACCCTAGAAGACATACTAAGAAATGCCAATCTTATAAGGAATATCTTGCTGAAAATCCTGCTTTGGTAAGTTTTTTTTATTAAAACAAGTATTGTGAATTGTTTGCTGAGGCTATTCTATGTCATGGTTATGCATATAGTATTGTTGAGCATGACAAACTTAAGGATTTGCATCATTACCTTACTTTCTCTGTTAAGGATATATCTAAGTATATTGTTACTAAGTATTGCATGTTAGAGCATGAAAAGCATAAGAAATTGATACTTGATTCAATGCATACTGTTTCAGGTCATGTTTGTTTTACATGTGATGGTTGGTCTGCCTGTACTTCACGTTCTTATTTTGCTCTTACTGCTCATTATGTTGATAATAACTGGAACCTTCAGTCTAAAATACTTAATTTTCGTCGTTTTGCTCCTCATCATGATGGTGAGTCAATATTTAAGTTTGTTAAAAAGATGATATGGGAGTGGGGTCTTGGAAAAAAATTTTACCATTACACTTGATAATGCTTCTGCAAATGATAAAATGGCCAAGAGATTGAAAGATGATTTGAATGTCATTTCTCCTCTTCCCTACAATGGTAAGTACTTCCATATAAGGTGTGTTGCCCACATTTTGAACTTGATAGTTCAAAAATGTTTGAAAGTAATTGGTTCTTCTATTATTAAACTGCGTGAGATTGTTAAGTTTATTGATTCTTCTTATTCTCGACTTTGTGCATTTGAATTAGCTGTTAAAGATTGTGATTCTTCTTTCTCTAGTAAGTTAGTATTGGATGTTCCTACTAGATGGAATTCTACTTACTTAATGGTTCTTAGGGTACTTGAGGCTAGATTAGCAATTAACTTGTTTGTTAATATGGAAAATGAGTTGGATTTCATTACTGATCATGAGTGGGAAATTTTCAAACAATCTGTGATTTTCTTGAGCCTTTTTATGAAATTACTACTATGTTCTCTGGTTCTAAGTATCTCACTTCTAACTTGTATTTGGCTAACATTGTTGCAATTGAAAAATTATTGTGTAATGCTCATAATGATCCCTGTGAAGGTATTTCTGCAATGGCTAAACCCATGTTTGAACTATATGAGAAATATTGGTCTGATCGCTCAATGATTCTATCTTTTGATATTTTATTTGATCCTCAATATAAATTACAACTTTTGAAAGAGTTGTACAATGTTCTTTATGTTGAGGATGAGGTTTAAAGAATGGTAAGTCTCATTTATAATGAGTTTCTTGAGTTATATGTATTTTATTCAAAAAATGCACCTTGTGGTTCTTCTTATTCTTATTATGTCCAAAGTAATACATCCTTAGGTAGAAGTGACTCAAGTTCCAATCGGCCTCGAACATTTAGAAAATCAGATCTATTTCAGGTTAGTTATTACAATTTTAAGTTGAATTTTATCTTATTTATTTCCTATTTTCATTTACTAATTTTTTTCTTTTATTTTTCAGACTTTTGATGCCAATTTAGCTGCTTCAAGGAGTGGACAATCTGATGTTGATTCTTACACCAGTTTTCCTCTTGTCCCTCATACTGGAGAAGCTGACTTTGATATTTTGGATTATTGGAAAAATTAAAGTATTTCATATCTGGTACTTTCTCGCATGGCGAGAGATATATTGGTTATTCCAATTACTTCAGTTGCATCTGAATCGTCCTTTAGTATAGGGATCGAATTTTGAACAAATTAAGAGCTAAACTCTTACCTAAAAATGTTGAGATTTTTGTAACAAACCGTAATTGGTTGTATGGTTTTGAGTCGGAGGATAAGGATGAAGAATACCTTATTGTGGTTAATGAGTCTTCTATGTAAAGGTAATCCAAATTGTTTTTTTTATGTTAATGTCATTAATATTTCAAATTGTTTATTAATTATTTTAATTTTTCTTTTAAATTTTTAGGGTGTTTAATGGTCTTTGAAACCATTGGGATTGGAGATTTTGTCTTCTTTATTCCCTTCAAAGGTAACTTATATTTTATATTTATTATGTTTATTTAATAAAATTTTCAAATAGTTAATTAATAATTCTTTTTTTTATAGGGTGCCTTACAAGAAGCAATACTTGGTGCTTGATTCTGCTTGATTATGTTTGATATTGTTTGCTTCTACTTGATATTTGTAAGGGTTTGGTAAAGTCAAAAATGTTTGACACTGTTGGCCATCGAATTCCCTTTGACTTTACCATTGATTGTATGCTTTCTTAATGCATGATGCTTGCTGAATTGATGCAATGATGCTTGTTGAATTGCTTCTATATAATTTTTGTTTTAGTATTTGTAATGTTATTCAAGTTTCAAATATTTAATAAGTTCGTCATTTCAACTAATATATTTTTATTTTAAAATTTCAAGTTAAGTTATACTTAAATTATTAATCAATTCTCACATTAAAAGTAAATTAGATTTATGAATATTTTAACTCAATTTATATAATTTAATAAAATTATGTTCAATAAGACAATATTTAAATTTAATTTAGTGATTATAAATAAAATTTATAATATAAGAATTATAAATAATATAAAGAATTGGAGTTAATATAAAAACTAAATTTATAGTATTCAAATTATAATTAATCTAAAAACTAAATTTCAAAAAGTAATCATATTAATTTAATTATCATAAGTTTATTATAAATTTAAAATAACATAATTATATTAATTGTAACTTATTACTTATAAGTCAGGATAATATCATATCACTTTAATAACATGTCGGATCATTTACAGGTTGAGTCAATTACAGGTCAGGTTGAAAACAAGTCGGGTAATACCAGTTATTTACCATATCAATCTCGGGTTCGGGTTCATATCAGTCGGATATAGTTTGGGTTCGAGTATCATATTGTCTGTTCAATTCGGGTTCAGGTAGTTCTCAGGTCGGGTTCAGATCCACAGTTTCCAGGTCTAACTCGGGTTCAGGTCGACACTAGTTCTGACTCGAGTCAGTTTCGGATCATCACAGCGCATGTCAAAAACAATTTTGACTCGAATCGATTTCAGTCAATTTTACAGGTCGATCAGCTTTTTACACCCCTAATTGGAATAACGATATTTTTCGAGTGTAAAGTGGTGCATTGTTTGAAACCTAAAATTTTTAAAAGTAGTTGGTCCAACAAAAGGAAATAATCAATTCAATTAAAAAAAGATTAATATGTAAATTGGCTTTCAAAATGTGTTTTTCTTCACATTAGTTGATATTAGGCAAAAAGAATCAAAACCAGATATTTGAATACAATTTGTATTCCATAATATGATTATTCAATACATTTATCTTGCAATTAATTTGCTTCATGGAAATACATTTGAATGTTTATGATTTTTTTAAATAAAAAATTCCGTCACTTCAACATCTGCAATCGTGGACAAATGGCCATTTTTAAAACATTTTTAAATAAAATGGCCTAGCACAAACATTTGCATGTCTTGTATTTACGTTTACAATTCAAATTTTATTTAATTTGAAAGGATTATAGTATAAATTATTTAGTAAAGAAAAAAATAGAAAATCTCTTGTAATGCATTAAATAATAATGAAGACATTAAAAGAAGAAACGTTTCTAAGTTGATTTAGTTGGTCAAATATTAAAAGGTGATGGTTTGAATATTTATTTATGCATGCAACTTTTGTATGAAATGAGCCCAAGAGGTCATTTTCAAGTGACTGGTAAACTTAAACAAATGGTTCATACAACTAATCCATGGTAATAAGCAATTGCCACCAAACTAACCCATACATAAAATAAAAATATTAAATTCAAAGATATGGAAGAAACAAAACGAAACATTCCATTAAAAATGACATCTAACATCAAAAGAACCTAATAACCTTTATAAAAATGTCTCTATCGAACGAGACGCTTTACAAAGTAATAAAGGAGTGGTGAGCGAACCAACAATTTGACAGACTACTTCGCTACACAATTATACATGCACAAACAACCTTTTACCAAAGAGAGAATATAACAATACGTGACCACCAACAAACCAATCGAAAAATAAATGTCGTGAAGATCTTCGTGCAAACATCAACACAACCATAAAAGTATGCAAAAAGCTTACCAAAAGTCATAAGAAACGTGTCACAAGAGCATAGAAAAACATGTCAAAATAATAGACTTTTATTTATAATTGAAAAAACTTCTTAAAAAAAGGAGAAACAAAAGACAACATGAAAAAAAACAAGAAAAATAATAATCACGATACAGAACAAAATCAAAATCAAAAGAAAGAGGAAGAGGAAGATAATAGAAAAATATTAAAAGAAAACTTAGGTTAAAAAAATAGAGAAACTCAAGAAAATACACATCATCAACGAGGAATGGTAACCAATCAAATAAGACAAATGCATTTAACCCATTCAGGCAAAGCTGAATTAAACACACATTATATTCTACATAGTGATATCAATAACTTTCAAACTCAAAGAATTGGCATAAAATTGAAGCCTCGTAATCTCAGGCCTTGCTGTAGAAAGGAAGCATACTTTCCCCGTCTCCCAACCCTAAAAGAGAGACCGATATCCGGTTTTACACTGCATCGGTTTTACATCTCATTCAACTGCATTCGAATATTCGACTGACACAACTTTGTTAGTGACTAGAGTCGTCGATATCGCCTACCACCGACCTTATTGTGCCTTCGAGAGGGCTCGACTTGACGGACCACGCAACAACTTCACAAACCCGAGGAAACTTAATTTCCCATCTGTATGCCTTATCCAATCATTAAGAACAGCATGAACTGGAATGGAGGGTCCAAGACCAAGTTCCTGAAAAGTTTGAAGTACAGAAATTCGGTTTAGTATCATAACGCCGATCAGAAGTTATTGTTTAGTATCTAAAAGAATTCCAAACTCACAGAAGCAAGTTCCTCGATTACGATAGCCCTGTTTCCTTCTTTCTCAAAAAGCTCGTATGCACACCGGGCGTGTTGTTCCCAACGATCAAGTGCCTCGAGCTGATGAACACTTAATGCAGCTGCACAAAATTCTTCAAAACCCATTCTTCTGTATTGAAGTGCATTAAGCTGTCATGCAATGGAAAGATTAAATGAAAGGTACTTTAATAAGCTACTTCTCGATAACCATATAATCAACAAATGGCTACACAATAAGAATAATTATGTCCATACTGCGAAAAGAAAATCTGGAATGTGAGAATCCTTCATTGCATCTGTAGCGTTTTTCATCAAGGCCTGTTTGCAAGAAAAACAAATAATCAAAATAAGTTCATTGTCTAACAATATCTCCACCTACGATGGAAGGAGACTAACCGTCTTAATGTTCTCCAAGGTTATGCTACCATTTTTGGGCTCGAATAATGCAAATTGTGCTCTCATGTAAAAGAGTTCATCAGCAGTCAATGTCTTAGACAATGCCTGCAGGAACAAATTAATAAGATTACCAAAGGTAATAAATCGTATAAACAGGTTTCACTTAGGCATCAGATCGTAATGAATCATGCATTACCATTACAAATTACCGAGAGAATGAAGTACAAATGAGAAAAGAAAAATCGAAGTTGATTGATGAGAGCATAGTGGTCTCAAGACCAGGTACTACACAGTGGCATGGGTAAAGTGCGAGAAGAGAATTTCATCCCATCAGCATACACACCTTTAAAGCAGCCTTCCGCAAAGTTGACGATCGCATATATACCTTCATAAGCCTAAATACTAGAATATCGAGAGGGACCTTAACATCATTATGATTCTGGATCCAAGGATGACCTGTGAACAAAAGACCAAGGTCGTTACTCTAGCCTGAGGATGTGACAGCCTAATGTTATGAATTAAAATTATGCACGCACATAGGGCCTGAGCTGCTGTCATTCTTTTCCTAGGGTCCTTATTCAAAAGGTGCTTAACAAAGTCCTTAGCTTCAGAAGACAAGGAAGGCCAAGGTGCTTCAATAAAATTCGGATCAGCTTTTAGGACCGCTCGAAAAATTCCAGACTCAGTCCTTGCCCAAAATGGACGACTACCACATAAAAGAATATATGCTATCACACCTATGCTCCAAACATCAGCTTCTGTACCATAAGATCTATGAAGAACTTCGGGGGCCACATAGTATGCACTTCCCACGATGTCATTAAGCCTTTCATCTGGAAAACCATAAATATTAGAGACATAAAATAATCCCCAAAGTCGAGCAGGAGGAAGTGGAGCAAAAAGAGTAAAAACCTGGTCTGACAAAATCCGATAACCCGAAGTCTATGGCCTTGAGCTGAGAATTATCCTCCTTAGAAGCATACAGAAAGTTCTGGTCCAGAAAAATGTTATGCTTAGATCTTTCAACGCTAAAAAACACATAAAGGTCACAAGTTATTTACGGACTCGATAATCAATGACTTGAGAAATGTCCTAAGAACTGTATGACGACAATAGCATATGCTTTCCCAATTCAAGACACTCCAAAGCACCTTATCATGTAAATTTTCAGTATAGGAAATTGTAAATAATAACTCCTATTACATATCTATGTATGCTTTGTCTAGCATATGTTTGATCGCACACATTTGAGGATCACTACCTAGTAATGCATCTTTCTTTTTCCCTTTTAACTATCGAGTAAGAAAAAGGAGAATTTGCCCCACCTCTGGCTTAAGATCTCGATGCACCACACCCTGAAGATGGCAAAAAGCAACAACATTTAGTATCTGTACCATTACAGTCTTGGCATCGTCTTCTGAGTATTTTCCACCCCTACAAGTATAAAAAACCTTCAAGTTCGAGGATACAATAAAAAAATTCTCAATACTTGAGAAATTTATTACAAGAATATTCACCTTGCAAGTATTTTATCCAAAAGCTCACCTCCTTCACAAAACCTGTAAGTTCAATTATATTACTCAAAATTTTAATTAAAATAAGGTCATACAAATGAAAGTGCATGTTTCAAGCTTACTCCATTGCTATGTAGACATTATCATGATCTTCAAACGCATCATAGAACTTGACTAAATTGTTATGTCCAGTCAAGGCTTTCAGTATCTTCACCTCCCTTCTTACATCCTCAACTGCAATAGCTGTTGTCATCTGACAACGTAAATAATCATAAGAAAAAACACAAAAAAGACATTCAAAGGAGAAAAGCAATTTTTATCACGAATCATCTTACATTAGGTTTAAAGGTTCAGAGCAATGCTTTGAGATCAATTGATCACATAAAAGTTACAGTCCAATCATGTACTAAATATAGACAATGGTGTGCAATCTAACTACATCCATTTGCTTTTTTCGGCTTGGTTCCAAGTATAAGGAAAAAGACAACAAGGCATTAGTTGACTGATTCCACCTAACTCGATTTAAATTACAAGCCCTTTCAAAATTACGACCCCGAAGGCTCCAACTGAGACCATGATCATTCCAATAATCCAATTTGTTCATGACCATTGGGTAGTAGCACTTGGGCAGCTGTCAATTCTAAGTGTGGAGAAAACGATATGTCAACAAGTTTACTAGAGATTTCAACAGTTTCTTATAAAATATTCACTTCCATGAGCATCCAACCATACAACTCGATGATGCAAACTTTGCAAAGTGCACTTTTGGGGGGCAGGATATGGTTTAGACCTAAAATATTCATGTCATGCGGTAAGCTTAATATCCCAAACAATCCAGAGTTTATACCTAAAAAAATCAACATCAGATGTGGATGTGGTAAGCTTAATACATCAGATAATCTGGAATAATTAAAATCAATAAACAAACAAGTTGGCCCTTTTGTGTTGTTTTACACTGAAGAAATATAAACTTAAAGAATTGAATTTAACCCCACATTTTCTCCATTTACAAGGATTCTGAAACAGTAAAGTTTCCATGTTTTCTTCTTCTTCAATATTCTCTTCAGGTTCTATTAAAAGTCTTCATCCCTATCACCTTGAAGTAAACATTTAAGCAGCAAAGGGGTACAAAATACAACACTGGTACAGTTTTGTGCTTAACAAAAATCAAAATAGGAACCATTATAAACAAAGCAGAATGCCTATTTAAATGAAAAGGCAAAGTATCAACATTTAAGGATCAGTGATTTAAAATTTAAATACTTCAAAAAAGAAAAACCTTCGATTTGGGAATGACTTTAACAGCAACCTGCTGGCCTTTGAACTCTCCTTTCTTGAACTTAGCAGAACAAGTATACCCAAAATGCCCTCTACCAACTTCCTCTCCTATGTCCAACTTACTCCTCAGCTCCTTCGAAAACCCAAATCTTTTATCCAACTCAACTCCTTCTTCTTCCTCCTCCTCTCCTTCCACAATTCTGGCCTCATTTTGCGCTTCCTTGTTAGGCTTCCTCCGCCTCAGCACTGCCCGAATGTGATTGGCGGGAGAAAGAGGAGGAAAAGGTCGCCGGAAGAGCCGGAGAGGAGTCGAAGGGGTCTTGGGTTTCCGTTGGTGGGCGGGGCTTGGGGTGTACACAGGGAGGAAAGGGGTGGTCGGAGGGAGAAAGGGAGGAGGAGGGGATTTGGGTAATTGGGTAGGGGCAGGATGGTCATTCTGTTGGTCCTCTCTTGGTGCAAATGGGTTTGGCTTTGAAGGCTTCGAAGTGCAGACTCCCATTGTCAAAAAGGAAGAAGATCAAGAAATCATTAAGAAACTGGTTTAGAAGCTATAGTAGAAGAAGAAGAAGAAACAAGTGAGGGTAAAGATGTAAGCTTCAGATGCTTTGCTAGCCACGTGACCTGCACATGAATATGTTCTAATTTTTACTGATATGTTCCTCGAGCATTGTGCAACAGATTTTGGACCTCAAAAGTTCATTGACCTTCAATGTATATAAATGTATCCAAACTGTTGTTTTAGATTAATGTTGTGATCCCTGTAAGTTTTTTCTTGCATGCATGGAGCTTCATATTGTTTTCTTTTGCTTATCCATATAATTATATATTTTGTTTTATGGATGGAGATAACATTTTATTTTCGCAAAAATTAAAATAATTTTTACTCATGACAAGTGTCAATGGCTTGAAGTATATTAATACGAGTGTGGATATTTAATTTGTATGATTTTTAATTCATTGAGTAGTCTCGATTATCAAAAGAAGTATTATTTTTTAAAAAAAATAGAGTTTGATCAATTTTTGAGAGTTTGAATTATACTGAAACCTAAATTCTACCTTACTTAAAACCTAAATTCTACCCTAACTTAAAACCTTAAATTCTACCCCTAACTTAAAATCTTAAAAAATATTCTAAACATATATTATTTTATAATCACGTAAATTATTAAAAGAAAAATCTACGAGAATAATCATAATAGGTGACTCAACCCTATCCAACCTATGAATCTTTATTAATAAAAAAAAATCTACATTAATTCTATATTTGGATTAACGAGATTTTATTTATCTGAAGAGCAGTAAAATGCTTGTAAATCTGATACTACCCTCAATCTTTAACTAAGATTAATAAAACATCCTTATTCACAGGTTTGCCCAACCATCTAAATTTGACAGCATCTTTGTTGAAAATATTTTGTGTTTCGATATAACAAATTAAGTTTAAAAGAATTTTAAGATTTTACAAATGATTTTCTAAGTATAATCGATTTAATTAATCGAAAGTCAAATTATTACTCCAAGTCTTTCAAGTTCAAATTCAAACCTTAATAAATGTGTAAAATTGTGTTTTATACTTAATAAAGTATATTCGATGCACCATGAATTAAATTGAACATCGAATGCATTTCATGCATCTCAGGATTTTATGAAAACATCGAATGCATTTGATGCATCGATGCACCTGCCATGCATCGATGCACTCTGGCTATTTTGAAACATCGAATGCACTTGATGTATCGATGCACTCTTAGTGCACCGATGCACTAAGGGTCCAACGATCAAAATATTTGAATTTTACACTGATGCACCGATGCACCATGGGTATGCATCGATACACTGACGCTCTTAACTGCTTTAATTAATTGTTTTCACACTTAAACGGCTCTATTGACTCCACTAAGCATCCCCAACGTTCAGAATCATTTGAAGGTGTATTTAAACAAGCGTAGAAGCCATTGATCAATAACAAGAAACAACAATCAACAAGAATCAAGAGAGAATCAAAGAGAAAGCATCAAACCTTAAGTTTGAGCATTTCAGGCCTATTTTTCATTCAATATTCATTTTGCTTTCAAGAAAACTACTTGTACTCAATTGTATTCATTTTTTAGTGTTCTTTTCTTTGTTCTAGAATGTTGCAAACAATCTACCTTGTGAGGATTTCCTTGTAAGTTTGCAAATTTGTAATCTTCTCTTTGAGAAAGAGTGTTCTCAAGAATTGGGATATATTCTTGAGGGAATTGTAAGGTTATCTCTTTGGCCTCAAAAGAAAGAACAAATTAGTGAATTTGTTGGAAAATCCTTAGTGTGGATAGCTAAGGTAGTGGACGTAGACTTTGATTGAGAAAGTCGAACCACTCTAAATCGCTGTGCAATTACTTTCAATTTTCTGTAAAAGTTTCCACCCAAATTTTAATTACCAATTCACCCCCTCTTGGTCGATTCCGTCGATCGATTAACTCAACAATTGGTATCAGAGCCTCACTCATTTGAAGGTTTAATCGCCTCTTGAGTCGATTCAGGAATAGTTACATCGATTATCAAGTCATCAATGGCCTCTACTTCAAATGTCGACTCCGATCTCGATTCGGTGCCCGTCAACAAGCCTCATTTCTTCAATGGAGCTAACTATGCCTATTGGAACAATAGGATGATGTATTTCATTCAAGCAAGTGACATGGGAGCATGGAATATTATAGAAGACGAATATATCAAACCTCTCACTCATCCAAGATTGTAGAGTGAAGGAGATACAAGAATGGTCCAACTCAACTCCAAAGCAATCCATATCATATTTTGTGCTCTTGGACCATATGAATATGGAAGAGTTTCATCCTGTACAACCGCCAAATAAATATGGGATAAACTACAAGTCACTCATGAAGACACCGACGAGGTAAAAGAATCTAAAATTAGTCTTCTAACACATAACTATGAAAATTTCAGGATGAAACCAAATGAAGATATCAAAGCTATGACGGATAGATTCTCAACGATTGTCAATGGTCTCAAATCATATGGAGAGATTATTCCAAACGAAAAGTTTGTGAGGAAGTTAGTTTACTCACTTCCAAAATCGTGGTAATCCAAGAAGACAGTAATTATCGATGCTAAGAACTTAAAATCCTTAACTCTTGAAGAGCTAATTGGTTCCCTCCTCACTCATGAAATGATGCTTGAAGATGAGGTGGACCTCGATAATATTGATGAGACACCAAAGGAGAATGAGAAGAAGAAAAACATTGGAGTTGCTCTCAAATCCATAAAAGATGAGAGTGATTCAGATGAAGATGACGATGACGAGGAAATGGTATTGTTTGCCAAACGGTTCAGAAAAATGATGAGACCTTACCGAGGAAGAAAATTCAAACGAATTGAAGGTCTCAAAAATGAACCAAAAGATAAGGACTCTATCATTTGCTATGAATGCAAAAAGTCGGGCATGTCAAATATGATTGCCCATAATTGAAAAAAAAATGGTCAATTAAAGAATAAGCACAAGGCTCATGTGGCTACATGGAGCGATGAAGAGGGTTCCGATGAAGAGGAATAAGAAGTAGCAAACTTGTGCTTGATGGCATTCAGGGAAGATTCTAAGGTAACCTCTAACTCATCTGAATTAGATGATTTCTCTTATGATGAGTTATTAGAGGAATATAATGGGTTGGCTTCAGTTTATGAGAAATTGTTTTTAAAATATAAAAATGATGTCTCAAAATTGAAAAATGAAAATAAGCTCATATCCAAGACCAACAATGATTTTGAAAGTAAAATCAAAGATTTGCAAATCAAACTAGAAGAGTTTGAAAAGAAAATTTTGGATTTGCAAAATTTACTTTCAAAGGTCAATGATTATCATCAAAAGAAAATTGATGATCTTAAAGCTTCTTTTGATAAAGTTGGAACAAAACATTTTGAAAATGGAGAAAATTCAAAATCCAACTTTGTTAGAAAAAGTTTTAAAAACTACAATCATAGAGGTCCCCGAATAACCTCTAATGGAAAAATTGTTAGAAGTATATGGGTTCATAAAGGGCTCATTACTACTAAAGATAAAGATATCCTACACAAATGGATACCTAAGGGGACTAGGATTTTGGAAACTAATGAATATAGACCTAAAAGAATTTGGGTACCAAAAATTAGAAATTAATCTATGTTTGTAGGAAAAGGAGCATTGCTACAAGGCACGGGAAACAAATTCAAACTCATGGTACCTTGATAGTGGATGCTCAAGACACATGACCGGAGATAAAAGCCAGTTCATAGAGCTTAACGCCAAAAATGGAGGAGAAGTGACTTTGGTGATAATTCAAAAGGTCACATCGAAGGTATAGGTACCATATGTAATACCTCTTCCATACAAATTAAAATGTTTTATATGTGAATGGATTAAAGCATAATCTCTTAAGTATTAGTCAATTATGTGATAAAGGATTCAATGTCATGTTTGAAACTAATGGTTGTAAAGTTATTGACATTACATCTAATCGGATTATGTTTGTTGGTCATAGAATAGGAAACATATACATGGTGCATTTAGACTCTATTGATATGACTAATTTATGCCTAGTTGCTAAGGATGAGCATGATAGTTGGTTATGGCACAGGAGACTAGAACATGCTAGTATGAGTGTTTTGCAACGACTAATTCAAGGAAATTTAGTTCGAGGGTTGCCTAAGCTTAAATTTGATAATAATAAAATCTGTGATGCTTGTGCTAAAGGAAAACAAAAGCGAATTTCTTTTAAATCCATGAATGATGTATCAACTAGTAGAGTATTACAATTGATCCATATAGATCTTTTTGGGCCAACTAGGACTACTAGTTTGGGTGGAAAACAATATGCATTTGTCTTGGTAGATGACTATTCTAGATATACTTGGGTTCTATTCTTAAGTACTAAAGATGAAGCATTAGAAAAATTCATCACATTTTCAAAAGTAATCCAAAACGAAAAAGGTTACTCTATAACTAGTGTTAGGAGTGACCATGGAACTGAATTTGAAAATCTAGGATTTACTTATTTTTGTAATTCTAATGGTATTAGCCATAATTTTTCAGCACCTAGAACCCCTCAACAAAATGGAGTTGTTGAGAGCAAAAATTGAACTTTAGAAGAAATAGCTAGAACCATGCTTTGTGAAAACAATTTTCCAAAATATTTTTGGGCGGAAGCCACAAATACCCTTGTTATATTGTAAATCGAGTAATGATTAGGTCAATCTTAAAGAAAACTCCATATGAAATTTTCAAAAATAAAAAGTCTAACATTAGCTATTTTTATCCTTTTGGATGTAAATATTTTGTTTTAAACAACGGTAAAGACAATCTTGGCAAAGTTTATGCTAAAAGTGATGAAGGAATTTTTCTGGGTTATTCCTTAAATTCTAAAGCTTATCGAGTATTTAATAAAAGAACTTTAGTTGTAGAAGAGTCTATACATGTTTTTTATGATAATCCCCTTCCGAGGAAGGATTCTTGTTTGAATGATGATGTAGGTATTATAAATATAAATAACGTTGAACATGACGTTGGAGAACCATCATC